AAACTAATTTTTATTTGTTCCCGTGTTTCATTGAGACTATTATCTACTCCTCTAATGCAGGTTTTCATACTTTCCTTTAATTCTTTGTACATAATGTCTTGGCCTTCTTTCAGTTCGTTTAATTCTTTTTTGAAATCAATTTCTAAGCGTTCCGCATATTTGATTATCATAAATTTTAATTTATCCATTTTGGGATTTATGTTGTTAACTGACCTCTTTTAATAGTGTTGTGCTACGTTAGAGTTGAAATTCTTCTCCCGTTGGCCCGTGCCGTTGTGTTGTGTAGTTGCTGATCATGTGACCTATTCTTCGTCTTCCTCTCGTCGTTTGCGAAGACTTCGTGCCGCACGTTGGGACTGCCACTTTGTTGACGATGTGGACGTCCAGGGTTCGAGCGATGAGGTTATTTGTGAGGGCTTAACGGGCCTTGCTCCGACGAGAGAGGTTATTCTGGTGAAGAAGTCTCTGGACCTACTTACTATGGATATAATAACAGTACTACACGAGTTAGAGCAGTCACAATCGCAGTTACACTCTGTGGCACTCACTGTGCACAGCACTACTCAGTGGTGAATATGATAGTCAGTCTCCCAGCCTGTGTTTCTGTTTCTTAGGTTTCTTACTTCATGTCTGTGTGTTAATTCGTATTGTCTTTCATTGAACATGCGCAGGCGCGTCTGCTACCGAGACTGTCACGAAGCTGGACTGTGCTGCTACCTAGTGATATACATAGAAAACTTATTACATCCATTACAACTGTTTTACTTACATTTGTGACCTATTTACTGCCTGTCTGTCGGGCACTGAAGATGTACTGAAGTTACTTTGTAGTGATGACGTAAGTGTCTGCGTCACTGACTATGACGCAATATCGTTCGCATTATAGATATATATATAGGTTTTTAAAACCTCGGAGGCGTTCTGTTTTTTTTTTTTGAACTTCAACTGTAACTCCCAAAACAAGGAAACTCCATTAAACCAGAGACGAGGCTAAGTAGTAACTTAAAATGCAAGTTGCACAGGGCCCGTTACTTGTGTCTGCTGTGTAAAGCAAGTTGGGAAAAGTGTTTAGCTGGTTGCCTGGAGAGGGAGACCACAAACCGGGAGCTCAAACTGGTCAATCGGGAAGTACACTCATTTCATATTGTCATGTGATCGCGTGTGACAGTAGGTGGGTTTTGGGCTGATGGCAGAGTTTATTGAATTCTTTGATACAGCGTGTGACTACATTTTATAGTTCATTGTTACACACACATTAGTGTTCACTGGAACATCTTCACTGCCGTTGCTTGGTAGCTGTTTCCAACAACGGACCTTCCTCTTCCTCTGTGTTCCCGAACTGTCCCCGTCCTCAGCTACCAGCTTCTAACAGCAACACAACTGAACTACAGCAATCCTCTAAATCACAACTACTAACACGGATCACTCAGAAAACGTCTCCATTAATGCTGTATTCTCTTGTTGTCGTGGAAACAGGTTTGTTTGCCCAGCCATCACTTAGGAATGGCTGCTTTTTAGTTCCTTATTTCACAGTCGTTTCCTAGCAATGGATCTACGTGTCACATTAGGTATCCTAGTTGTAAAAATAAAATCTTAAAGATAGCTTTTGTTCTGAGGTGTGACCCCTTATAGTCCGGTGTAAGATGTTTCGGAGGAACGTATCGTCTTCGTCTTCGTGGTCAAGGAATAAACCATGCAGGTAACCATCAAGCACAGCGGTTTCATTCTTACTGATTGCTTCATTGGTATACTTTTTGACCCTGGAGATGGAAGCGACAATTTCCTCCGAAATGTCAGCAGCAAGCAGATTTAATTGAGTCTTGCTTATTGATTGTTTGATTTGCAATTCCACCCCGAAGATGGAAACGTCACTTTCCTCCGAAACGTCGGTTTGGATTTACCGGTATACACGGCGTCATCCCTGAAGATTCACTGCTGTGAGAACCTCAAATCCAAAAGTGATAACCTTATAGGATGAGATAGGCATTATAAACAAGACGCCACTGTAAACTTAAAATTCAAGTAAGCTACTGTGAACATTTTCAGGCAAGTTTAGAGTGCCTCCATTATCATATTATTACCGGATTTCATGTCTCTGATCCCTCTCGTGTCACACAGCTCAGTCGTTATGAATAGAAAAGAGATTATATCCCTCCTGTCTTATTTAGTTAGCTGTGGAATAATAATTTGAGGCTGTTTTGTGATTTGTTTTGCAACTTGAAAACACGTCAGTCCCGTTTCTCTGCGTGTACCTAACAGCTACTGTGTGATAATCCCTTCTTTACACAGCCCCAAGCAGAGTGTGTAGGGGTGGAGGTGGGGGTTTCATGCCATTCATTCACCGCACGCACGCTTCAACTTGTGCCGTAAATCTCCAAATCCAATTTCTCCCCTTCCATTTATCCATCTCACCCTCATATCTAACCCATTCCTTTCACATTCTTTCACCCCACAACCCACCCAGAACGAGAATCAGAAGATTCCTAAAAAGAAAGACCAAGCGATAGCGTTATAATTCCTTACTGTAGCATCCAGTTGTATTGTTACGGTTCTTAACGCAACACAGCAGCAGTAATCAGTGGTCTAATTGGGCATTACATAATAACAAAGTCCCTATTTAACTGTGACATGACGGCTGAAAGTCAGAATAGCGGGCACAGAAAAGACGCCAGTTGCTAGGGAACGGCCGGTAAACATGTTTACGCGGCAATAAAAACACGCTCCCGCGTCAACAGTACCCCAGGCCATCGCTGGCCAACAGCGTTCTTAGCGCTTGACTCAACAATGGAGCAATTCTTGGAAGCTGTGTTCCCTATGCGGTCCATGCCGAGACTGTAACACGAGGACGAAAGAGACAATGAGAAACCAGGCATAAGAAGTATAAGAGGCTTACACTGGGCGGCGTTCGGCTGATTGCAGTTTCAGAGTGGTTAGTTAAGGCATAACCTGCTGCACAAGCCTGCATTGACAGGAAATCTCTGTATATCTTGTATAAACTATTTAGTATAGTGCAGTGACAGGATGCACAGAGTCCATAGTGACCTGGACGCCGTGACAGCGCTGATATACTCGTGTTGAAACTGCGGTGCAACAAACGTAGCGCCTACATAGAGAGGCCGACCCCTATACAGTGCAGTGACACAGAGCCCACAGTGACCTGGACGCCGTGACAGCGCGGATATACTCGTGCTGAAACTGCGGTGCAACAAACGTAGCGCCTACATAGCGAGGCCGGCCCCCTGTACAGTGCAGTGCAGTGCAGTGACACAGAGCCCACAGTGACCTGGACGCCGTGACAGCGCTGATATACTCGTGTTGAAACTGCGGTGCAACAAACGTAGCGCCTACAAAGAGAGGCTGACCCCTGTACAGTGCAGTGCAGTGACAGAGCCCACAGTGGCCTGGACGCCGTGACAGCGCGGATATACTCGTGCTGACACTGCGGTGCAACAAACGTAGCGCCTACAAAGAGAGGCTAACCCCTGTACAGTGCAGTGCACTGCAGTGACACAGAGCCCACAGTGGCCTGGACGCCGTGACAGCGCGGATATACTCGTGCTGAAACTGCGGTGCAACAGACGTAGCGCCTACATAGAAAGATCCACCCCATCGGTGTGACTGCTTCCCGGGAAGAAAAGTCATTTTCCATAACCAAATAGACCTATGCAACGTGTGCGATACGTACACTTGACGAGGACAAACCCATCCTCTCGTCAGAGAGCATGTTACATAAGGACTGGGCTGTGCCATAGCTTAGACGGTTAATCGCTGGCTTCCCACCTCTGCGGCCCGGGTTAGAGCCCGGGTAAGGTCATGTGGTATTTGTGGTTGACAAGCTAGCACTGGGGCAGGGTTTTTTTTTCCCCGAGTACTTCAGTTTCCCCTGCCAATAATCATTCACAAATTTCCCCACAGTCACCATCATCTATCATCTTGGGTGGTACAGTAAGTCAATAGTGGTCACAGTACCGAGAGCTCTGTCTCACCCCACTAATAATAATAATAATAATAATAATAATAATAATAATAATAATAAAATACACAAGGAATATGACAGCAAGGGTTCAGTTGAAAACAGAATCTGGAGCCTCAAGGGGCTTGGCTCCAAGACGAACTGATTGGCGATGAAGTAACTCTGATTCTGTGAGTTGTGGAGTCTTTTGTGAACCGTGAGAAGCTCGTAGCTGTGGCTAGTGACAGTTCGGAGACCCAGAGGAAGCCGCTACCTAGCAACGGCTAGTGAAAACTGAGAAAGTTTTGTGTGTCCTGTACTTAACAGTACCTTTAGAGTATGTAACTCGGTGAGACTATGGTAGTTATTTGTAGTTACGGGTGTAAGGACGAGGGCAAGCGGCCTCCGTAGTCTAGAGGTAACGTTCCCACCTCATGACTCGTAGTACGCGGGTTCAAATACCCGGCGGAGGTCGTCGAATTTTTAAGGGCGGAAAAATTCAGGGAACAAGTCCTCCGGGAGGGACTTTAAGCTGTGTGTCCCGTGTCGTAACTTTACGGCACGTAAAAGAACCTCATATCCCCAAAGGGGATCACTGAGCCAAATTCCAGGACGTTTTCCGCCCAACAATAATCTCTAAGGCCTCTGATAGATGGGGGAAGCATTATAGATACCGCTAAGCAAGTGGCCGAACTCGCTTGCTCGGCGGGACTGATGGTACGCACCATTTATCGGTAGGGTATAGAGACTGGTAGAATATCATAGAGGGAAGCACAATAGATCAAACTGGTCGCGGTGCATGGGGAAACCCACCCTCTCTAAATAACTAAACTAACTAACTAAGGACGAGGGCACGCCAAGGCAACTGCGTTGCCCTTTCCTTAGGCTGATAACAATCCTCGGAAATTGCAGTTGCCAATTTTCTTTGTGTGCCCTCGCCCGGCCTAAGTGTCCAAGTTACCAATCCAAAACCTCGTCTCCAGTCACACCACGCGACATCACATTGCCCTCACTCCAGTTGCTAACAAATTGCATTTGTTTGTTGCAGCCCGCAAAGGAGCGCCGTATCGGACCCTTCCCAATCGCTTCTAACTGAGGTAAGCCTCATCACATTTCAAACTGCGCTGGAAGAGAAGTTCTGCAAGGGATAGAAATTCCGAATATGCGGCTTAAGTGGAAACTTTAAGCCACATGTATGACGCACTTTTTCTGCATTACGGATTGTGAGAAAGCGTCCGGGTGATGTGGAGGCAGGATGGGCGTCTTTCCGTGCCCAACATCCGATTTGTTAAAAGGAATCTAAATTGGGAAGAAGGATGTTTAACGAAGAGCCAGGATAGTTCAGTCGCTATAGCAACGGACTGCGGCAAGAATTAATCCAGGCCGGCTCTGAGGCCCACCCAGCATCCCATAGAATGGGTACCGAAGGTTCTGTCACCAGGGGGTAAAGCGGCTGGGGCGTGAATCCGACTCCTCACCTCCGTGTAGCGTCGAAGTCAAGAATTTTGGAGCTATACTTCCACTTCCCAGTACGTCCTCATGGCGCGGTGCCTAATTAATTGAGCACACAGACAACATTAGCTTTTTAAAGCTTTAACGGCGATTAAAGTTAAACAAGTCTTCTCGGGCTAACAGCTGTGATTCAGTTAAAATGTCGGATGTTTGAGAGACCCAGCGCCACGTTAGATCTTGGTGATTGGGGGGGGGGGCAGAGATATCTCCGATACGTCAGTAATTTTATGCAACAGATATGGCTGTTGGACTCAGACAGTTTTATTCACTAAAATATTCCTTACTGAGATTTCAACCGGCGCATTTTATTTCCTCGGCGGTCGTGGAGAACAATTGCCATGTTGTCACATCTCTTTCAACTGTTGTTGCCTTTTCTCCAAAAAAAAAAATCATGTTCATCATAGCGTCAGATTGTTAGGAACTGCGTGGTGGAAAGACTTTCCTTCCGTCAAGTCGGGCCGACCAGTAACCCTTCTCGGACGCGCTGACTAGAAAACTCCCTGTAGATTTCAGGATTCTGCATGCACTGAGTGACTCTAAATTATCGGCTGGGTTTCCTTGGCCTATAAACGGACACCCCAACAATAATTTAGAATCACTCTGTACTTTTAACAAACTTGCATTTTATTTCAGTCGATATGTCACAGATCACAGATATTCGGATGCATTTCTTTTACGTACTTTGTGTTAATGAAATTTCTTAAACGGTCAGACTCGGCAGTGTCATAATGCCAGCTTGTACAGAGTACGTGTACACTATCGAAGATCATACGGGTATTTTCCTAATCTCTGAGAGAGTATTCCTCTTTTACCTGCTTGAATGAAGTTCGAAATTTCTATTCCTAAGCTTAAAAAAAAAAAAAGGTAAAGCTATCCCTGTAACCGGCCGCAGAGACACATTGGATTGTGAGACGTCGTGGCTTCCACATTTTTTAGACAATCAGATCACAGATGGCGGTAAGGTTGTCAGGCCTACTCGCCGATTGCCCTTTACTCCCCAGAAAGAATCCTGGTACTCATTTCTGTTAGAGGCTGAGTCGACCCCAGAGCCATAATGCGGCTGGAAGGATTAGGTCAATTTAAAAAATCCATTGACCTCACCCGGACTCGAACCCGCGACCCACTGGCTTGTAGCATAGTGCCTCAACCAACTACGCTGCCGCGTGCTCCCAGTGTTTATTCGTTGCTTCACCAAATGCTTAGTTCCGTTATCCGGAAAATTGAAGATCCATTTAATCATATCTGCCGCATTTGTAGAGCTGATATTCATATTTGGAATACTTAATGCTTTCTTTGCTTTCATACACACACAAGATCAGATGTTCCTACTTTCGTGGCTTGGCTTACAGAAATATTAATGAAATGGAGTCAGTGTTTTTTTCCATTCGCTTTTGGGCAGTAAAGTAATTGCCTTCGCTCTTCTTTCAGAGTTTTAAGGTTGATTTTTTAGGGTTTGCGAAATTCTAATGAAATTGGAAAGTTTTGCTCATAGAAATGACGAAAAATACGTGCTCCATAGACGGCATATAATTAGTTGGAATGTCGCTTACGTCGAGACATGTAATTACTGTTTGAAGCTCCTGGAACTGTGACTTGAGGGCGAGGAATCTCCTGCTCTGTAGAGTCCGAAAGAAACTGTAGAGAGAACTTGTCCCTAAAACCGTTCAGATCTTTCCAATACCGAGCGTTGTTGCCACAGACCAGAGAATGCTGTAAGGGCGTCTCGGTTTCTACTGAAACCCATCACTTCTTCAGCTCGGGGTCTCAGTGGCGTAACCGCGTTACTGCGTAAGACGGATGTCATACAGTCTGGCATGACCGTGAAACAGTGCTAGGCCTCATATGTGTGGATTAATTTTAACTATGTTATGCTTGTTTCGGCTCTGTCAGGCGTTGTGTATAACCTGTCTTGTGTTGGTGCTTGTGCCCCGTGTGGAGGCGGGTTTGAATACCTCCACCGTATCTGCGAGTCGTAGGAGGCGACGAAAAGGGTACCCAGTGCTTGCGGGTATAACTGGGCAACCCTGTTCCTGGGGGATATAAATACAGGGACCAGGCCCTCCAGGTTGGAGGAGTCTCGAATCTGAGTCAGGGAAATGTGGTCACGAGTCCCGCGGAACTCAAACCCTGCAGTTTTCCGAAGATGTGAATTTTGTTTTGCTGACATGTGTAGCTGCCATAAAGTGTCTTCGGAAGGGTGTGGCTGGACCCTAAGCTAAAGAAAATAACCGCTTCCACATGTGGGGTTCCCAGTTCTGTATTTTGGGAGCTGTTTTAATCTCAAAGATCGTTATGTGATTGGCTTATGCCGATTGCATGATGAAATTGGCTAGTTAAAATCAGCCAATTGGAAATTAATTTTTGTCTGGGAGAGAGGTCGTCGATTCAAACCCTTCTTGGGGGATGAAGCGACGCTCCTACAAGAGACCAGCCCTCATGGACTCGACATTTTGAATTAATCAGAGTCAGACTCCATTAGGCTGCACTCCTGCATTTCTTTAAGTTCATGAGTACTTCACTTTGGATCATTAAAGTTTGATAATATTAAAGGGCCCTATTACTCCGCCCTTGCAAAGGAAGTTGTAATATTTCGCTTCTGAATAAATAAGCAGTCAATGTACGGTGAAAGTTATGTGGAGTGGCTTCAAGTGTACAGTTTCCGGTTGCCACAGTTACTGCCGTGACAAGATCCACGTAGGAATCCAGTGGTCTACCGAAGCCGGCACATAAGTGCGAAGAAAGAGAGGGACGGTAACAGTCTCTGTTATTACCCGCGATAGGCCGCGCCATAGCTCAAGCGGTTAGTCGCTGGCTTCCCACCGCGGCGGCCCGGGTTCGGTCCCGAGTCTGGTCAAATTGGATTTGTGGTGGACAAAGTGGCGCTGGGGCGGTTTTTTTTCCCCCGAGTACTTAGGTTTCCCCTGGCAATCTTCATTCCACCAAATTCTCCATCATCATAATCACCCGGGGCCGACTACAGTAGGCCAATCAGTGGCCGCCGTGCCGAGTGGGCCCAGTTGGACTCCATCCCCCAGTAAGCGAATTAAAAAAATTATTACCCGCGATAACGAAAGAGCAACTCTGCGCATATAGTTACATTTGGGATGTATTGTTCGCATAGTTTTCACGGCCCTCATTTATTTTCTGCACCTCATGCATATTCTCTGAGGCACTATGCTAGAAGCCTGAAGGTCGCTGGTTCGATTCCCAATGAGGTCATTGTTTCTTTCAATTGACCTAATCCTTCCATAGACCCAGCCTCTAAGAGAAACGAGTACCAGGAAACTTCCTAGATGTAAAGGGCGGCCGGCGCGTGAAGTTATAACTTCACAGTCATCTGTGAGCCGATTCTATAGAAAATGTGGGAGCCTCGACGTCTCAGATCCTATGGGCCCCTATTGCTTGTTACAGGGATAGGTTTATAGTTTAAATATAGGCAATGCCAATAAGCGGGAATTTAATTTGCTGTCTCCTCAGAAGCCACTGGGAGAAAGTGGAATTTGAATGTGGCGAGCAGGTGGCTTCTTTACATGAGCCGTCCTGGTGCTTTGCAGCCGCTCCCAAAACAGTGAAACCTGCGATATATTCCCCTTTACTGTTCTGTATCATAATTTGTGGTATGCTGGCCCGCAACACATCAATGGAGAGAAACTGATAGATCTTTTACTTTGTTCTTATTTAGTAACTGCTGCATGTTTCCACCCATATTTGACGATACTTCCCGAAGATGGTCCCAAATGTTGACCTAAACATGTAGCAGTTAATAAATTAAAGCAGTCTAAAAAGTGTCAGTTTGTTTATTTTCATTGTTACGTCAACGGCTAGAATAGCACAAAAAAGTTTTTCCTGTTTTCACTTCTGAAGGTCTTCCTCGAAGAGTGCCATGTTTTGGGGTGTGGCGCAGTGTAGGCAGGCAGAAATTTTACAACTTTACGGAGGAACATAACTACCTCCATCTTCAGGGTATAAATGTAAATCAAGCAACCAGCAATCTGGTGGAGCGCCATTTGGAAAGCTTTTGCAAGTGTGGGTCAGTAGGGAGCTCAGAGGGATCCAGTAGGAGCAAGGACAAGAATAAGCGTGTTGCTTGAGTGGCCTCATTTCGACACTGAATGTAGCGGCAATATATTCTTTCGAAACGTCCCTGAATTTCTACCGGACTACAAGCCGTCGTCGTCGTCGCCGCCGCTGTGAGAATTTCAAGTCGAATTTTTTTGCTTTCTTTCACCCCCCCCCCTCATATTTTCTCTCCCCTGTTTATGTAAGAACATTTCTCACTTCTTTCCACTATTTGAGGGACAATGTTTCAAATTGTCTCGCTCGCAACGTCGGTTCCTGTCCCTACATCTTTTTCCGACGTGTTCTGCCCTGCAGATGCAGGCAGTAAGTCCCAACGGAATTGTCCTACCTGTCTGTCTAGCTGCACCCGTTACTGAGTGGGCCTAGGCCTGCCTCCATGAACTTCTCCGTTCACTTCGGGTTTTCTAGATCTTACACATTCGGTAGGACTCCATGGGCGGGTGATCAGGTCGTCGCAAGGCCTCTACCTGTACACAAACACAGAAAAACGCACACACACACACTA